CGCCACCAAGCGAACTGCGCAGGCGCGCGCATTCCGGAAGTGGTGCCGCCGCCATGCTACTTGTAGTCATCCGTTCCCGGCTACATACGGCTGCGCGTACGTACATCATCATAGATTATCATTTGGCACGCCCCGGTATCACCTTGATTCTCTTGCATGTTTTTACTTCTTAAAATTGTGTTGTTTGTGATGCCTTATTTTCCTCAGCAAGTGCAGAAAAGCAGTTTCAGTCGTCTTATCGCTTTAGAATCGCCTTGGCGTCTGCTTCGTCGTCGTCTGCTTCTTCGTCTTCGTGAACGCGTGAGCCCACTGCCGTTCACGCGGTAATCCCACTGCGGCCGCGGAAAAACAAAAAAACAACGGCGCCACTACTCGAGCATTCCGACTCCTCGGACGTCTCAATTACCTTGCAAACAAGTGAACATCTAGTGCAATAGCAAAGAACAACAAAATTCGAGGGACCATCGGCTCGGTGTAGCACCACGGAACAGCATCAAATGTGATGAAAAACTGAGCTTGGTGGTGCTCAGTATCGTGCATAATGTTTAATCAGCCATCAAGTAAGAACTTCCATCGTAAACCGGAGACACGGAAAAATAAAAAAACGGACAAAACAACAACAAGTCTCAAACACAGCTTCTAGTTTATTTGAACACCTCCGCTCTTATATATACACAACAACCCTCCTCTCCAAAGGTCGACACACCTCCTCTCCACTCCATCAACGACATCTCAAACTGAACCAATGACACATGCTACCTCCCTTCCTTTCATACTAACCAAAAACTGACCCCTTTCCAATCCAAGAAACAGGCACTCAAACCCTGCTAACAAGGAAAACACCCCCCCCCCCCCCCCCCCCCACAAAAAAAAAAAAAAAAAAGGTTTTACGGAACCGACCAGCCACAACTGATAACAGGCCTATCGAACAGACACGGTGTTAGCATTCAACCACCCCTCAAAAAAAAAAAAAAAAAAAAAAATTAAAGACATAGAAAGCGTTTCAGTTCACTTCCGAAAGCCAAGGACGGTGTGCTGACACAATTGCCACGCTCCAAAATACATAAAGTCTCCCTCACAACTCTCCTACCATTTTCTTTCTCTTTATGCAATACCTGGGTATCCCCCCACTGAGACTGACAGTTTTTTTTTTTTTTTTTTTTTTTTTTTGTGGGGGGGGGGGGGGGGGGGGGGGGGCGTTTTCCTTGTTAGCAGGGTTTGAGTGCCTGTTCCTTGGATTGGAAAGGGGTCAGTTTTTGGTTAGTATGAAAGGAAGGGAGGTAGCATGTGTCATTGGTTCAGTTTGAGATGTCGTTGATGGAGTGGAGAGGAGGTGTGTCGACCTTTGGAGAGGAGGGTTGTTGTGTATATATAAGAGCGGAGGTGTTCAAATAAACTAGAAGCTGTGTTTGAGACTTGTTGTTGTTTTGTCCGTTTTTTTATTTTTCCGTGTCTCCGGTTTACGATGGAAGTTCTTCACCAGCTCGCCTGTGCTTTTACCCTTTCTTCATCAAGTAAGAGGAGCTAAATAGACTTTCTCGGTGAGCAATAGTTTTCTAAAAGTTGTCTCATTCTGGTTGACAGCCTGTGCGAAAGAGTACAGATGAACAGCGGGAGAAGCCTGCACAAAAAGAACTGATCTACAGAAAGGCCATGCCTGACGCGCCGTAATAATTGGCATCTATCAGAAAGAAGCAACCATGCCAGATGCCTGAAAGCTTGGGGTGGAGATTATTTTTCGTGCACAGTTTCTATTCAGTTTTATTTTGTTTGCGCAAGATCCGAACGCTAACAGTCGCCCGACGGGGGAAGCTTTTTTCTGCGGTCTCGACTGGTGCTAATGCAGAATGGATCAGTAATACCAGCCTAATAGACCACCACAAAATGAATGAGGTTCGTTTGTTACATTTTTGGCGGTAAGTACGTGTTGCACTTCTAAATTGCATTATGTAATATTTAAAAAAAAAATGAAGGCTCCTTCCGAAAAGGTTGTTTTGTTTCAAGTGGTGCATATCGGGAATCGCTGCACTTTTTTAGTGATTGTCCTGATCCTTCGAAGCACAGTTGTGCTTGAAACCTGTCGTCGCAATAACAGTTATAACCACCAAAATACACCGAGCAAGAAGTGTATTAAAAACAGCCTCCACAAAGCAGTGCGGAGGTCCTATTTGAGATAGACCAACGAATAGACCGCTAGGGAGCAAATAGTCAGAGATTCCAGCTTACGGAACACTTCGGCACGCTCTATGTCTCGTGCCCTGTAATCTTCCACATTTTAGCTGACGTGCAATAGGTTGGATATAAATAATGAAGCAAATCGCGAAACAAATCGTAAAACGCTATTTTTCCCGCCGCTCTGTCCGGCTCTGTTGACCTTTCTTTGCCATGCTTCTTTCTTGCGGGAAGACATAATATCCGAGGCCTTTTTCCTGGTGCTCTTAATATAGCTCCGTGGCATACAACATGTGAAGCCACCGATTGAAAAGTCTCGTGCTAACCCGAAAACTTCCAAACGCCGGGCGTACAATGCGCATCGACGCGGCCGGAAAACTGGGGAGAACTACAGTACCAGGATGCAACGCGGCAGCGGTGGCGTCGCGCAACTCCTGGTGAGATCGGTCTATTCCCTCCATCATTACCACAGCAGGACAGGCTATTGTCATCTTAGATCCAACTGTGTCCTTCTCCCCAGAATTGGCCTTTCCGGACTCGGCAAAGTCCGCTTCAGTGGCTTGGTATCTCGGTATGAGAGGAGGTCAGCAATGGCGGCTGTGATCTGGCGCGTGTGCAAGGCGCCTATATCGTGTTTAACCTAGGGTGCCTTCATGCCCTAGTTTAACCAGACGCTCACCCATGTCAGCCGCTACTCCTAGTACTCCGGTGCAAGGCGGTGAAGCTCGACGCGCGTGGGCTGGGGAGAGGCGCCACGGAAGCATACGGCAGACGTAATCCAGTGATCTCACCAGGAGTACAAGAGCCTCGTTCTGTCTTATCGCAGTAGCCGCTATCCTACTATTTTGCAATGTTTTCTCGCGACTTTGTACTCCTCCCATCGCCGACATTGTCTGAAAGTTTAGAGGAGGTCGGCGATCAAGCCGCCAGCGCATCAACCGGCCAGTGCGGTGGACGAGCAATGTTAAAACTTCGTTTCACCTTAATTTAAAGTGCAGCCGACGCTACGGGTCAATGGGATAAACCGAAGAACGTCAAAGCGCGACATAGAGACATTCGACCATCTTCCTGTAATTGTTTTTTCATCGATTGAACCAATCAAATGCAGCGAATGTCCCGTGACTTGCGTTTTTATTATGTGTGTTCGAGCCTCCGACTATGCTCTGATCCAAGATGAAACAACGTATACGGCGAGTAGAGACGCTGCGAAATACATCTCTCTACCGTTTTCTTTTTTCCTTCTTTGTAGGGTCAACCAATAAAAAAATATATCAATTTTTTTTATTTTGCCCATCTTGGCGCAGGTGCGGCGCAATTCTTAGCCAGAATGGCACTTGCGTTTGAGTGCGTTTGACTGCGTTGCGTCGAGAACCGAAAGCGAGTCACCGGCACATCTGTGCTTCGTATGAAGCGTGGAATCCAATTCAAGGAATCATCTTGGCACGCGATATAAGCAGCAGGGATGTCCTGGTTTCTCGCTGCCGCAACGCAGTCAAACACAACTGTCTGAACCAGAGCCTGGTTCAGGCAGCTGTCAGGGCGGCGCCATTTTTGTTTGACCGCAGCGCCCTCTCCAGACATCTGGGAAGTTCAGCAGGTTTGGTGGAGTAAAACGAGAGGGGGCACGCCCCCGATTCCGCTAGCAGACAACAAACCGGGAGGTTGCCCTCCACCTTTGGTCTGTACCGAACATCAAACTCTCTCGGACGTGGCGGCCATTGTGAAGTGGTTCGCGTTCTTACATTTTTGGCTACTCCTAAACGAGCCTACAGTGTACCGTTTTATTTCAGTGAATTATCAACTAGCGTATCTTTGTTCCGTTACTTCAATACCAGGGGAGTGAGCCGGCAGTACTGCCCTCAACCACTGCGTCTATTGCGTCAGGAAAACACGCTTTTATATATCATTCCAGACTTCCACTCATTGTCGCTAAAGGCCTACACCTGTGCGAACTTTCTACAGTAAAAAAAGCTACAGCAACCGGATTTACTATTCGCCGGAGACCGGCCACTCCGACAGTTTCCCCATTTCTTCTCTTTATTTGCACGCAACGGCGCAATGGTACCCGGTTAGTCCTTATCAAGCATAGGCTTACACAACTTTAATTTCAAAATTCGCGCAGCTGCACTTGAAATTTCCAAAATGCGATTTTAAAGTTTCGGCACCAGCCGGACGTTAGGTACAGCACACTCGGCGGAGCAGACGACGCACGGAGTGAGAGGGAGGGCATTTGTTCCCTCTCTGCTTTTCCTAATGGAACAAAACATTGTCTGCGACTTTCAAGCTTCCAAGACAGTACTGCTTAAGCGCTTCTTACCAACTAGATACCTTTAAGTTAAACATTGGCGCATTTTGTCAGCTGCAAGACTATCACTAACTTTGTAAAGAGTGGATGCTGTGGTCCACCTCGAGCCAATCTCGTCAACTGAGTGAAATGTGCGACAGCTCTCTGCAGGAATGTTCTCCAATAATATAACACGCCTCGCTCCAACGGCTCACTGTGACTGTCGTCTTTGCCGAGCTATGCTAAAACAATGTATACCAAGGCAATAAGGTGGTGAACTGGGCAAGTTGGTTGACGTTACACGTGATGGGGAGAACAGCTCAGAACGCACGGACTACAAAGAACAAACACGACAGGACAATGCTGTTGCAACAGCATTGTTCTGCCGTGTTCTTTGTAGTCAGTTTTCTGAGCTGTTCCCCCTTCATGTATACCAAAATATTTTACAGAATCCTACATCTAGGTGGGACGGAATGCACACCACAAAGAAGGAAAAGCCCCCTGGCTCTAGCGCCAAATTGAAACCAGAATAGGAAAGTGGAACTGCCCAACAAAGATTGCTTTTAATACGCTTCAATATACACTAAATCATACAGTTCTTTTTTTCCGTGGACCGGACGACCATACAATGCGACAAAAGGGCTCCACACGGGGCTTGCCGTACACGAGGCGGCATCCAGATACAAAAAAAACAAATCTCGAAAATCACGAAGTTCCGTAGACCCCAGAGCCTTCTAAAACCAGAGCCAGCTTGGTTGGACACAAAATTCTAGACGTACCCCCCACCCCTTGCCAATCGGGAAAAAAAAACTGGGCAAAGCGCCTTTCGCACATCGACTCCCGACACAGCCCCTGCCTCGTATGTACATGTGTTGGTGAATATATATAATTATATATATTTATATGTAAAGCAAGAAATACAAGCAGTCCAGGAAATAAGAGACAGTGAAAAAAACGATGCAAAAAAACTCTACTCCTCCCAGGAAAACAAGCAAGCTATCTCTCGTTTCTGAACTCTGCACGTTCCAAGACGTACTCTGCTGGGGCATGGCCTCGTCCCTCGGGTGTGGAATGCTAAGTCAATAGTCTTGAGGCAAGCACACAGCGAGCAGGGTACGACGAAACCCACAGCAACCTTCCCACACACCCCCCTCCCCCCTTGGCGTCAGTCCCAAGCCCAGTCCCCAAAGTACCACATTCGAACAGCGCAAAAAGAGAGCAAGCACTCTTCACAATTACGTTCCTCCCCTTTTTGATGACAACTCTGCCTCACGCCGAGCCCTTCCCTACGAAAAGAAACTACTAAAAACAAAAAAATGCCACCCTCGGTTTATTTTCGCGGCAAGATCCCCGCGTCCTACATGCAAAAACGCACGCGCGCGCAATCGTAAGGTATATAAGTTACTTTCGGCGCCCGACGCCAACGCGACTTTGCTGCGGCAGATATGAAAACACCGTGCCGCAATAAACAAAGGACAGCCAAACGACGCACACGATCGGCGAGGCCGGGACGTCTGCGCGGTTCACTCCCAACCACGCCATTCACTCGGAGGAACGCCACCCTTCAGGAGAGACGCCAAAGCGGCCCAAGGTTGGGGGGAAAAAGAAAAAAGAAACAAAAAAGGCTCAACACGGGACTACCTCGGGAGCGGCAGACGAAGGAACTGAATCGACAACAAAAACCGGCTTAAAAACAAAAGACTCCTGTTGTCTGCTCGGAGCGGAGGAGTCTCGTGGTTTTAACGAAGGAGGAGGGAGGGGGAGGGTGTGGTGGGGGTGAGGGCTCGTCCCCGGCGGTTCAGCAGCAGCCCGAGCCCCGCGGCTGGACGGGCGTGCCTGGGTTGATCTTGCCCTCCGAGCGCAGGTTCGCCTCCGTGGTCGGGGGCCCCATGCGGTTCTTGATCTCCGCCGCCATCGTCATGAAGGCCTGCTCCACGTTGGTGGCGTTCTTGGCGCTCGTCTCCAGGAACGGGATGTTCAGGTGGTCCGCAAATTCCTGCCAAAGACGACCGATGAGAACCTGGCAACGACGGACCAACGCCTCCATCGGCGGGCCACACAAACTGAGCAGCATTAGCTCAAGCCGTCGTTTAGCGAAGAGGCCCGTTCGCATGCTTGCGTTAGCTTACAACCAAGTTCTTGCTATCTCTTACGACGCAAGAACATGCTGGCATGCTGGCTGCATCTTCGTGGCAAACCTAGAACTGCATTTCACTATAGTGAAGGCTTTGTGGGATCTGCTACCTATGGAATGGTTGTTTATAACATTCCCAAAAGTTTTCGAGGCAAAGAAAAAAGAATGACGTCGGGGAAAAAATATTAAATATATGGAAATTCCTTCTACAACTACCCGATTGATGGCACCGGCGTCATTCTCTCGTCGTGAGAGATCCAAATAGGCTTTAGGGGGGTTTGGACATGGGTTTTTGAAGACAAAAAAATTCCTAAAACCACAATCTTTTGAAAATGGCAATGCTGACCTCTACAGCTGTTGCTTTTTTGGATCTACCACGTTTCTAATTTTGTGGATGAATATTTGAGCTATAAATCAATTTATAATGTCTAAGCAGGCTGAATGTGCATTGAAGTTGACTTAAAACACCGTTCTCACAAAACACCATTTTTGGACTCGTAGAAAATTTGCAGGAGGGATTATCTCAGCATCTGGGGCAGAGAGAAATACAACTGTTCCCGAAACATGTAGTTGAATATGTGAAGCATACAATGTTGAGCAAATTGTTTTATATAGGTCTAAGAAATTTTTAATTAATCTTTTGTGGTATCACTTGTTAGCCACACATTGAGCACTGAAGTTCAAAGCGCAACAAAATCACTAATAATGTGTCAATCTTAGAAGTACTTCCAACATTGTATTCTTTACACTTCGAAGCATCCAGCCACATGTCAAAGAGGATATTTTGTAGAGTAGCTTTTTCCTAGGATTCCTCCGAACAAAGGCAGGCGAGTTTTATTTATCTTGAGGACCATTTTACTGACTAGAAAAATGACCAGATATTTAAAATCTGGCACAAAAAGCTGAATAAGCTTGTGCAGTTTCAATGGGTTTGGTCATAACGTAAGAAAAAAAAGCTCCAAGACCAGTGTTCCCTTTAAGGGGAAATGCGGGTCGAAAAAAGTTTGCTTGTGCCGAGATTTTTATTTCTTAATTTTAAGAGATCTATAAATGTCTGTACTGTACCTTCATGAATGAGCGAACGTGACGCAATACGATCTAGTTTCAAAAACAAAAAAGTTACTCAAAAATTTGATCCCGAAGTTTAAAAAAAAATGTATTTCAACGCCCCACTGCGTCAAAACAAATTGCTCATGTTGGTGTATGTTAGCTGTTTTCAAACCCGCGTCCCTTCGAACATCGGCACCGGCTGCCTTTGCAGTAGTTTCGATAAAGATAATCAATCTTTCTAGTGACTTTTCCTTTAGTTTCGTAATCAAGCTAGAAATAATTAAAAAAAAGCAATTCACACGTGCTCATGATGGTTTTAGTTTGCTTTTAAAAAGCCACATGGATGTGAATGCGGATTTGCGACTTGCTGTTGTGGAGGCCGTGGACAAGCGCAAAGGTCTCGCTTCCCCTTTTGAGCTGAAGTGCATGAACGATGGATGCCCCAAGGGTGTTGTTTCTGCTGCATACTCGTCACTACAAGCCGCTGCCACTAGCTGCAAAGATCGTGGCTTGGACAACAGAATGGAAGTGCCCTAGACAGTTTTGCTGTCCGCACCAAAGCTGTCCCTGCTGCGCACATGATTGGCACTAAAGCCTAAAGCACTTCACAACAAGACCTTCAACAGCACACCAACGAAAGTGCATGTCGCGGCCTTTACAGCAGTTTCAGACAACCCTGTAGAAGCAAGGCGGGTAACTGCGCTTGAGGCGGGTCAGACCAACGTCATTGTGATGTTTGACGGCAATTGGCAAAAGCGTGGACACAAAAGCCAGAACAGAGTGGTCACGGTCATTTCTATCGACGCAGGCCTCTGCCTGGACTTTGAGGTGCTGTCCTACGGCTGTAGCAGACATCAGATTGTCGATGAACAAGGCGAGGAAGTGTGGCAAGAATTCCATGGTCCAGTGTGTGAAAAGAATGAACTGCTCGTATCGTGCCATGGAAACCGAGCCAGCACCACGGATCTGGAAAACAGCAGAGGTGTATGGCTCCACCATGGTGACAAATAAATATTGCACCAACCCCGCCGCAAAGTGTCTTGGTACTGTGCTGAGAAAGCTCAAGGTGCCACTACCACGTGGGAAAAAAAAAAAAGCTGGGTGAAAAGGTCATCCAGAAGCTGCAGAACTATTATCAGGTGGCCATAACCATCCATAGAATGTACTGTGCTTCCTACCTCCATTCGTACTCGACCAATGATGCTAGCAGTCACAAAATCTGCTCCGACGGGGAGGAGTCATGGTGTAAACACAAGAGAGCCCAAGATTTGCAAGAGCCAACACTGGACCACACACCACTCATGACCAAGGCTCAAGGAAAAGTAGCGCTCGCCATCCTACAAACGCCTTGCAGAGGCCAAGCTCCTCGCTCACTGCCTGCAGGGAAAGATCCAGAACGTTGCAGAGTCTGAACAGCAAGGTATGGATGCTGTGTCCAAAGACTGTTTGCGTCATGAACTGCGGTGGAGACAGCCAGTGCCATTACGGTGTTCTGGTACAACCGGGGCCATTCCAGCTGTGTGCAAGTGCTGGAGGCGTTGGGGCTCCTCCCTCAAAAACAGCTACAGTCGAACCTCGATATAACGAACTTCAATGTAACGAAATCCTCGATTTAGCGAAGTATTTTATTTTTCATAATTTCTTGCCCATAGACCCCATGTATTTTTAGTCCCTATATAACGAAGTCTATTTTGCTGCTATTTCAATATAACGAAGCGCCATTGCCATAGAAGGCAATAAATAAATCAACTCTAAAAAACAACTTCGCAAAAAAATTGTGGTTAAAAAAAAAATTATGCGCAAACGCGAGCGTTTGATAGGTTACTTCACGGGGACAGGCCTTCCAACGTTCCTAGGCTGCCCGAGGATGCGGCGCCGGTAGCGCCGGCGAGGCATGCAGCAAAGCGGATTCCGCGAGGCTGGCCAGAAAATGCCGAGCAAAAAGTTAACACGGCATAACAGCATCACCACTGACATTCACTGATCATCATAGTCTACTGTACCGCGGGTAGCGTGGGAGCCAACTTCAGCGGGGGAGCGACGTGATGGCGCGACCGCGCGACCAGAGTGCGCGCGACCGCACGGGCAGTGCCATCTAGGAGAAGACCGAAAAGACCGATTATCGTGTTGCGAGTGTGATGTAAAGCAAAGGCGCAAGCACACTGTGGGCGCAAGGGGGCAAGTAAACTGTGCGGTCAAGAGTGCTGTGTAGATTGGAAACATTGGCACCGCCTAAACTAAACAGCTTTATTTTTTAACCGGGCGGTTCACTCACGTGCTTGCTGCCATAAGGAAACGTAAAGTTCTTTCTTTAGATGAGAAAGCAAACGTTTTGGACGCCATCCTGAAGAAACTGCCGAGATCACGAGCACTCGGGAAGTGCTCGACGCAGTGGACGTACTGAGGAGGTACACGGCGTCGCATGGGCAGCAAGATGCCGTGCAAGCGCTCGAACGCCGTATGACGCCGCCGACGCCGCTGCTACTGTCGGACAAGGCGCAAGCAAAACTCGCGGACTACTTTGCCCCTAAATAAATGTCATTTTCGGTGAGTTTTCATACCCGTAAAATGTTTCGGAATTTTTTTTTTTTTTTTCGCATGCTAAAGCCAAATTTTGATTTAGCGAAATTTCAATGTAACGAAGTAAATTGCGAATTTTACCGACTTCGTTACATCGAGGTTCAACTGTAGTCAGGCTGAGTGACATGTGCGGCCAGAGGAGGGTCAGAAAGATGACCAGCAACCGAACAGCCGACGCCAAGTCACATCGCCGCGGCCAGGGGAAACGTGGCCGTGCCGAGGACTCCAGCTGCAAGGGTGCAACATACGCAGCTGGGGAGTTCTAGTTTGGAGGTTGAGACAGTGACATTTGGGGCTAATATTTGTCCGTTTTCATAGTTTTTGCACACAATTTTTGCCACTTGCATTTACTGCATTACTACAAAATTTTGCACAGAGTTCCAGATATGTCATAAAATGGGAAAATCTTGCTAGTTGTAAATTTTCGTATCACCGATTTTTATAAGATATAAAACGAAAAGTGAAACATGAATGAAATATTTCACTTTTCTGTATAGACCGACACGCGGAGCGGCTCTGTTTACCAACACGGCCGGAAGGCCGCACATGCGCGGAAGCTATGTGGGCAAAAGCGGTCCGTATCTCCGTATTTTCGCCATTGCGTTGTGTGGCGTGCGCTCGTTGACGTTGTAGGGACGCTTCTAGCTTTATTTGTGTGTCGTATTTCCTGAAACGTATGTCTATGCTATGCCCGACTATTTGAGCTCGCTACCCGAGCCTGAACGGCAGCGGTATCGAAACAAACTGTGCGTGGACGGCGTTGCCTTCGAGGATCTGTACGAAGCAAACAAGGCCTGCTGGACTTCCGATGCGAAGTTGCTGCCACCGACGTCGACGGCTCACGTCGTCGTTTATTTAGTTTTTCGCCAAGCTGTTTCACGGCCGACACGGTTCAGGCGTAAAAGTCTCTCGAGGCCTACGGTTACTTCGAGTCTGTTTCCGCACTGCCGGCGGGATCAGCAGACCGTGGGTCTGTGGAAGTGTATTTATTAATTAAATAAATACATACAGCGTCTTGAATTCAAGGTACGATATTTTTCCTACCCTCATGACCGCAAGGCATGACAAGCAATAACGCTTTGTCCGTTCTGCAGTCTTGGCGGTAACACAAGTAATGGCGTTACCAGGAACGCTACTTTTTCAGTAATGTAGTAACCTACTCGTTACTTTTTCGAAACAGTAACGGGTAACGTATTTACGTTACTATCTCAAGTAACGTAGTTACGCTACTCGCTACTACTTCCCAAGTCTTAAAGAAATTACACTTCAATTTGTACCGTGTTTTTAGGCGTCGAGCTACATTTTTCTTTGCATTTTTTCTCGCGAGTATTTAGGGGAAACCATAAAAAGAGATAAAGTAATTATGTTCAGTTTCTGCATGAACATATTGTTTCTTAATACATGAGCTTATGCATACCTGTATCATCAAAACCGTAAAATGTATTAAATCATAATTTAAAAAGTAACGCAGAACTAACGTGCGTTACTTTTTATCGGTAGCAATAACGCGTGTCTTTTATTTTTAGGTAACGTAGCTCGGTAGCGCGTACCATTTATTTGCAAGTAACGAGCAATGTATTTCGTTACTTTTTTTCGGTAACGCCTCCAACACTGCCGTTCTGTCGCCGATCCCCTTCTGCTGGGTAGCACGGGTGTAGCGAGCCTTCGACGAGCGCTTGGCCGGTGGTTTGTGCACGAACACCGTGGGAACAAAACCCGGGTTATCTCGATCAGACAACGGTTTCCCTGCACATAAGCAAGCCTCGGGACGGAGATTGAAATGGAAGCCGCACTTGCCTTCAAGAAAGTATTGCAGCACAAACTGTTGTTCGCGCGAGGCGACCATTCTTTTCGACCCACGGATATCATCCACCTTCTATGCTTTTCAGAGTCTGCTGGGAACTTGTGGAAACTCACTCCACTACTTTTCTTGTACATGTTGGTGAAATGCTATGACGCCCATGAGAAACGTGCGCCCCCTTTTGCCCACACAACCCGGCTCCGGTGCGGTCGCAGTGCTGCCGCAGCTCCGTGACATCAAGCCCCCCCTCCCTGGCTACGTGCCTGGCCCCATCTCTTCTTCTGCCGCCGCGATGTGTCGTTAAGCACAAAAAGTACTCGACCATAACGCTAGAAAAGAGGGCAGCAATTCTCAAGCCAACAGAAAGTTGCCGAACGCAAACGGAGGCATAACCTAAAACAAGGCAGGCAGGCGTACCCTGAAGCAAGGCACTATTACTATTTAAGACTTTTTTAAGCCCACTTGGAAGTAATAAAGGCAAGTTTTTCAATCTGCTGATTTTTCGGACTGCTCTATCATTCGGACGTTTTTTCGATCCCTGCGAAGTCCGAATAATCGGTCGGCGACTGTAAAAGGAAAGATTGCGGCTCACTGATCTTTTAGCGGCACGGAAAGAAGTGCGTCAAGATTTATCTCTCTGCCCGTGCAGTGACGCTCGTGTAGTCTCTGTCACTTGGCCTAGTGGTCCAAAACTTGGTTCACAGGCGTCTGGGACGTTTTGAACTTCCATTTGCTTGGCCTGAGTACAATCGAATAAAGCCAGCCACCTTCCCACTTAGCACAATTTACCACCTTTCGCCGTGAAACAACCGATTGCCCCCACCAGACAGTGCCATTCTCGGGGAGTATCTCACAAGTCGAAAGTTCGAAGCTGTTGCCCGTCAAATGGTATGTGTGAACTAGCCGATCGTTCAGGACTCGGATTTCGCAATACTGATGCGCGAAAACAAAAAGTTAATCGCGTGAACTGTGCAAAGAGGTAGACTTATACAAAGTTCCAAATTATATACCAACTTTTCCGCAAAAACTGCTCAATAGACGGTAGTGCAACTTATACTCTAGAAAATAGGGTACTTGTCAAAGTGAATATGATGGTGGGAGACTCCACAACTTGAAGAACCAAGGAAGAAAAAATGGCTTGAATTAATTTTGTTCTGGGTCGCGTGGAGGTCTGCAAATGTGTATTTGACTAATTTTGCGACCATAACCGGAACCAACTATTTTTAAACATCAGAAACAAATATTCATAAATATTAAAATTCCACAAAACTCAAAACCACATATTTTGCAAATATTGCCATTTCCCGACCCGCATCTCCCACCACCTGAAAGCGGCAACCTTTCAGCTACCTTGTTCCTGAACGTTATAATTGTGAGGGGTCGGAAGCTTTATCTGAAATCGTTCAATAAAGTGAAACAATGCCGCCTGAGCTTCCAGGCGCTGTCTAAAGATCGGAAAAACACTTTCAAGTCGCTACTGTCATTACCTCGAATTAAAACAGCTGTACCGGCAACACGAATGGAAACAGTCCTCAAACGTTTTGACATTGGTGAACGCACACGTCCCCATTAATGAGTCTCAGCGTTGATGTAATAAAGTAATACAGAAGCCTACAAACTTTATCAACAATATTGCACATGCTAAGGGTCCTACCATTGCACTCAAAACTGGAAGAACATCCCAAGTAGGGGAAGGGACGGCCTAAGGAATTTGGGAGTTCAGGAGACCACAAAACCCACGTGCTACAGGCTCGTGTCGAGGTACAAGCTCGAGTTGCGGCACTTTCAGTGGAGCAAATGGCAGCATGCACGACGCAATTCTGAGAATAAGTTCACCACTGTGCTCGTCCCTCATCGAAGCCCGGGCTTGTCTGACCGCGATCTCAGACATCCAAGGAAGAAATGACTCTCACAGCTGTCAAGTCATGACGGTGTCATCATGTCGGTCTTCCAAGCACGGGCGAGGGTGTGCACCCCGCGAGCAACCATCTCATTCGAAACTTCTTTTACACGTGGATTTCTATAGTCCGGAGCCTAGCTCCGATTGTGCCATCGATTTCCGGACAACTAATCTAACACTGAAACGATACCGGGACGCCAATGTTTTCGCTTCTCCACCAACATCTTTACCTTTTGACCGCGACAACACCTTAGGGTTACACAACGCCACTTGATGCGGCGACCTTATTTAACTGATGGTATGGCTGATGTCGAAACTATGTGCAAAAGATTTGCCCTCGGCATTACTCCAGAAAAAGAATCAAATGTTCACGCGCAAGGTTGTACATCAGACATATTTTTAAGAGCATTATTATACTCTCACTCTGTCGAGAGGGGTTCGAAAACTGAGCAAGCTTCAGCTCCATTTCGCGATACCTTGCAAAAATGAACACTGCCACTTACTCTAACACCACTCCGTGGCCCGGCGCTCGCTAGGCGTGGCACCTACTGGCAGCTCCATACAAAACATGTGCAGTCATGTCTAACATATGCCACGAAGTTCGGCACCCCGAATACAGTCCACCTTTCGACAGTACCTTACTTTCTTTGCATATTCTTTTTATGGACCAATAAACCAGCTATGCTTAACACGCTACTCCCCGATTGCCTTGTGGGCACTGGCATTTTGTTGCCCAGCACGGAGCAATTGCCAATAGCCATTTCTGGAGGTTACAAATAAAGGATCAGACAAGTGACAACCACAAATGCAGGAAACAAGATACCACAAGTGTCATTACTTTAAAGAGCAGTTTACTTAGCGGCTCTAGTCACAAGCCTCTTCCGGGGTCACCTACGAGCATAACGATGCAGGCATGATAGACTTGAGTTTTTTCAGAAGGCCTTTGAAAAAGCATCCCGATTTCCGTAAGGACGGCACCCGACATTTGCGGAGAGCCCATTCTACAGCCTAAGCTCATTATACCCGACATTTGCGGAGAGCCCATTCTACAGTCTAAGCTCATTATAACAGACCTTGATTTTGACCAAGATTTCAGTCTGTTGTAAGAGGAGTATGTTATATGCAGATATGAAGTTGAGTCATTGGTACATAAAGGAAAACCAACCGAACTTCACAAATTTCTCAAAGCCGAAAATTTATGTGCTGCAGACCATCTTCAGGCATGAACTATACTGAGCTTTGTTTTTCTCTTGAATCTTTTGTTAACATTAAACAGCAGGTTTTGTGAATGGCAAAGTTTTTTTGATGATTTATATATTATACAATTTTTTTTACAAGCTAACCCCTTTACCGTTTTGGAGAATTTCACCCTCGGTTGCTTAATTGTCTTAAAAATAACATTTGTTGCCTTCAAATAAAGTTCTTAGCCAGAAACAAAATGGGAGCAAAATTTTAAAACATGCAGCACTGCCATTTCTCGGCAGAGTCTCAAACTAAGCCATGAGAGAGCCTGGTTCATCCTATACTTGTCCTGAATGGTTTGGGGAAGGGTCCATGCTGACAAGCTAGGCTTGTCCAAAACGGTTGAAGGGGCACTGACACATCAAAATCATATTTTTTGTCTATTATCCGAAAGGATTGAAAACGATGCCGGGACATTACCCTCAAAATTTGAAATTTGGGAATTCAGTATTTGTGAAGTAAAAAAACAATTTTTAAATGCCGAATTCGAAGTTCCCGCACAATCCGCGCTGGTGCGTTGACGCCAAATATTGCGGAGTCCTAAGAGTCCACTTTCTTTCACGACTCCCTGCTGTTGCCATGGTGACCCAAAGCGAGGAGGAAAGGAGCGAGCGCTGGCGTTGGGGGGGGGGGGGGGGGGGGGGACCGGTTTTGAGCAGTGTCGCCTGTTTTCCGTGGGAGGATACAAATCCAGGCGACGGCACCACAACGAACTCCCGATTTTTGGTATTTCAAAAAGAAGGGCCGTAGTATGTTCGCAATTGCGTTAAAAACATGTTTTAGGATTGCCGTTATTAAATGTTATAGAGATGTCACCTACAAAGCTTCTAAATTTTATGATTCTTAAAGTCACGAATCAAAAGAAGTGAGGAGGCAAGAGGCGGGAGAATGAAACGCCAAAAATAAGAAGGCGCGCACGGGAAAAACTTTTTTCGCGATGCGGTTTTTTTTGCGTGTCTGACTGCAACTTGCATTGTTTTAGACAAGAAAAAAAATATGACCTGTGGGGTGTCGGTGCCCCTTTAAGGGCTCAACAAAGCAGGCATTAGTCAAGGTGTGCTTGGTACAAGGAGTTTTTATACGAAGACTATGCAAGAAAAAAGTTTCTGGCCAAAATTTGCCCATGCGAAATCTGCGGACTGTAGTGCGGAAATTACAGCGGGTTTCCACCGGCGCTACAGACACGCCGAGGACGACTGAGTTATGCCATGCCGAAACTGTGTCCCACCTTGGCCGTGGTGTAGTCCACCACCTTCTTGGTCGTGAGGTCGCTCTTGTTGCCCACCAGGAGCTTGTTGACGTTCTCGCAGGCGTAGCGGTCGATCTCCTGCAGCCACTGCTTCACATTGTTGAAGGACTCCTGGTGAGGCGAGAGAAAAAGAAGCCAAGATCGTCAGACCAGCAGCCCCACACGCCACCACCGTTCACATGGGACATGGGCACTCAGGAAGAGAGAGTTTAGACATCACTGTCATCAGCCTCTTGTTTTTCATCACTGAGAAAAAGGGACACCAAGGACCTCCTCCATACACTTTGAGTAGCCTCACCCTGCTATTCCTTGAGACTAAGACCTGGAGTGCAACACTGGCCATCGCCAGAAGCGGAAATCAACCAGAGCTTCCGAGGAGAAAGTTGTAACAGCCAACTAAATACACTTCCCCCAACAATTCAAAAGGAAAAAGCAAAAAAAAAAAAGAAGTAACTAGATGTTACGAATAAAGTTGGCATACACCTCTGGTTCTCAAACACCGAGGTCTCTAGGACCACTTCGAGATTTGTAGGAGCGATGGGGAACCCCACCATCGTCGAACAGGAAGGAGGAGCAGGAGGAACCGCACCGAAGCCACACCATGTCAACATTTCCGCGCCGCACTGCCAAGGGTAGCGTGGTTTCCACAGTGCGCCGATGCAGTCGAAGCTATGTGCGCAAACGCACAAATTCAGTGGGAGTCTTTCCGCATGAAATCATGTGTGAATGGGGCGCAAGATGCACTCACGCAGCACCGAGAAACTGGAATGCCGTAAACTGTGCCAGCTTCGACAGTGTGGCATAAAAATGCCGATACAAGTTCAGATGCACCAAAAAAACTGGATTCGTGGGGTTGCACCAAAGGTGCTATTGCTACACTGTCGGCAAAGCATCTCTGGCTGGTGCATTCAAGCATAGAAGAGTCCCCAAGTTGGTAACAACTCCCTTGCAGTTTCCTCCGAACAATGCTGCGGGTTGTCGTGCCATGCCGGCAAAGACTACGGCGAGCTGCAAAGCTGCAGGAATAAGCCATATCCACAATCTTTGCAGTATGCTGCTGGCAGGATCGCAGCAACCCGCGGCGTTTGTCAGTTGCCAAGTAACCGGGTGATAATTTAAGATGCAAAACACACACAAGTCAGACTTGTATTAGGCACTATAGTACCCCTGGCGGTGGATAAGCTTCGTTCACCCCTAAGCCGAGACTGCAGAGCAAGTTACTTTCTCATTGGACCAGTCGTTCTTTTGTCACGTCATCACACTCGCACGCATGCTCAGGGGATAAGAGGGAGGCAGTAGATTGGTTTGGCAGGTGCGTAGCTCTTACCGTAGTCTCAGCTTAAAGGGATACTCCGGTAATCTTTTTAGCTACCCTAACTACCGTATTTACTCACATAATGGTACCCACAATGGGTACGAATATTTTAGGCTCCGCGAGTCTCTAATTGCATCAAATTTAGCTAGCCGCCAAGCCAATGCTTTTTTTAGCCACCAAGCAGCCACGCCAAGCCAAGCCGCTCTCGTAATGGCCGCAAGTGCGTCGTTGCAGAAGTGACCAACCGTGGAACCGAGCGGTGCGCACACTTGATGAAGCTTGGGTCGAGGAATTGCCCAGCCCCGGACATTCTTCGCCTATCGGATGCGTTGATGCCAACAAACACGCCGCCGTCTGTGGTCCGCTTTCGGACAGCGAATTCGTGAAAGTGGTTAGGCCTAAAAGCGGTCGCGTTGCTCTTCGTGCCGAGTGAGCTTCGCAGTGTGCTTTTTCTTTGGCAAAACGCAAAGCGAAAGTGCCCTAAAAGGTTCGAAATTTATAAAGCATGGTCACTGTGGAGCGCTTCCGACCAGCCGCGGGTGCGCCTTCATCAGTGGAGACGTGCCACAGTACCCTGCCGTGCAATATTGGCACCTAGAATGCCAATTGCACAAAGTGTGGAAATGCAAAAATTTTACCTCACGCTCTGGAACAGAACCCCAAATATGTGTCAATTGTCAATTTATGCGAGCAAATACGGTATACCTTTGGAATCACTTGCCTTTACCCTTTTGGGTATACTATTACTACAGTGAAATTCAAAATACAGTATAGACCACTTACAACAGAACCGCTTATAATGCAGGACCGGGTATAACGCGGCTTTTTTAAACCACCGGTTCACCTCCCATAGAACTCCATGTAATTACATACCGCTTAAAATGCAGGCGCGCGAAGGGAAATACCGGTTATAGTACGGTTTCTGAAACAGCCCGCCGACCGCGCCGGCGCAGCGAGCACGCCTCCCTGTGCGACACTAGATAGCGGCGCTAGCCGCAAGCGGCACTCGCGGGGCAAGGAGGTTGCTCGAAGAAGCGAGGAGAAGCGAAGAGAGAAGCTTCAGTTGCCATAGCGACTGAGGGACGCACGCACGTGTCATTCACGTGCGCGCGTCCCTCCGCTGCGTTGGAAACGTTGAAAACAACCTCGACAGACCAATCGCAGGTCGAGGAGAAGTGTTCGTGTGCATTGCATGCCGGTCGCGGGGCAGCTTCTATCCGCAAACATGGCGTCAGTTGTCAATGTCGGCGTAGATGGCGTGGTGGAAGCTCATTGTTCCGCGTAAAAGCGCTATCTTTGACTGAATTTTCGTTGTGTGTCGCTATGATAACCCAGCACGTACCAGAAGGGAAGATCCATACTCGTGTGGCAATGTCGTAGCGGCACTCAAGACGGCAGAAACGCCCGTGTCGTCGTGTTTGTTTACTTCGACTACAGTGGTGCTTTCTAAGCATTTGTGTTTTCGAACATCGCCCGGATTTCTTATTTGGAGCATTTCATGCCTGCGCTCAAGTTGAAGGTATTACTGGCGCATACCGTATAAAGGATGCGAATTTTCACGCGTTTTCATCACCGGAGAAAAGTCATTAGGGTTAGCAATCCTGAACGCTCGCAATGTCCGTCCGCAACCCGCGACGCCGCTAGAAAACTGCGCCAGGCAGAAGTCGCTTATTTCTTTCAAAATGTGTGACACACTTGAGAGAGAAGTGTACTAGTCTGGTGAAATAGACTGTCCTCAAACTAAGCTTTATTTTTCATCTAACATAAAATAAATTCTTTTACAAAGGTAAGTTGTCTCATGGCATGTATTTTGGCCTGAAAAATTGATGTTTTGGTTATAGCGCGGTACCGCTTATAGTGCGGATTTTCGCGACTCCCGCGACATACGTTATATGCGGTCTACACTGTAGATGACTTGAAATCAGCGAGTGAAAATGATCCCGGAACACACATTAAAGCATGCCCGCGCCTTTCAGTGCCGTGGACGGCAGGCTTGCAGGTCGAGCGGGTAGTCTATAAATGGACTATGCCAATCATTCTGTTTCGTGCTACTGCACGATTGGTGGAGCTAGATTCCAAAGCATTCCTTTGACGAAACTGTAACCAATTGGGAACAATCTCTATAGTCCAAAGAGTGAACCTCTGCCTGGCGCCGAAGTCACTTTTCCATTGTTGCCAGTATATTTTCACTTTAAAAAGCATGGTGGACTGAAATTGTAAATTTAACAACTTCGTGAGAAAAATTCATTTTGGCCCAAAGTTCGGGTTACTATTTCAACCATGTTTGTTGGCGTGCTGAGCAAATTTTCAAGCAAATTACAAACACAAAAAAAAAAAAACAGTAGCTTTTTGAAGGGGAACGAGCTAGTGTTTGTCAGCAGCCAGCCGCAAATACACCAAGCAATCCATCCCCCGGGACGCTAAGCCACAGTCGCCTCAAGCACATTCAAAGCATGTTAGCTTCATGCATGTTGTGGGAGCCAAGTGTTCCCCGCATCCCTATCTAGGCCTAGCTCAGGCAGGCCGTGGGGCGTCACCATGTTGGGGCGTGTCCTGCACGCGAGGCGAGGCCGTATTCCCTTGCGGACGGCTCTCCCTCGCCCCTCTAGGGTGATTTGCCGAAGGCGTACCCCTCGGGATCTGGATACTTAGACACGTCCTCCCCTCCGGAAAGCCAACCTACATCAGACCACCCCAGGCACGTCCATTCCCACAGGCTATATAAGACGGCCCAAATCCAACGGGAGCGGCTCTCACTCGGGGAGACTGCTGGACGGAGCCTTCCTCTTTGTTACCGATCCTCCCCCTCCGCGATACTGTCAATAGCGGCAGCGCGGGCTCTGACAAAAGAGACAGCGCCGGTATTTCAGACATTGTTGGCCCTCGAGCAAAGTGTGGCATTATCATCAAATAAACGCGTCATTATCCGGACCGAAGGAACCTTCTGCGCTTATAAGTGGTACACCCAATGTTTACGCTTCGCACGTATATCCAGAAAGTCTTTGCGTGGACACCGCAACGGGACCGCTGTACAAGGAATGAACAGACCATCTTTTGTACGACATATTAGCAGCGTGGCCACCCGCGTGTATACACCAAACGTGTCCGCAGACTTCTTGCACGACCGACGTGCGGAAGCACGACCGACGTGCGGAAGCATCGTACGAGTGAGAAACCTGCCTCCGACAGCATTTGCAAACTCTTGAAAGGACGCGTCAGCCGCACGACTGCGGTTTAAAACGGTCCCCCGGCAACACCCGACAAGCTCTACGCTAGAAGGAGACCCACGATCCCATGCAGTCTTGGTGCAGGACACCTCGAGGCGCGTCGACTAATGGCTCACGGCGGAGGAGCGAGGGCACCCACCTGGTCTGTGACGTCGTAGGCCACGATGATCCCGTGCGCTCCTCGGTAGTAGCTCGACGTGATGGTGCGGAACCTCTCCTGTCCCGCCGTGTCCCACTGCAGGTAGACGGGCGAGGCTCAGTCACCCCCCACTCTCCGGAACAGAACCCCGACGAACTGTCGTTTATACCAGAACCTCTACGAGCAGACGACACCCAGAACACCCCCTCCCCCGTAAATAACATCATTAACAGTAGAGATGTTTCTCAGTGGGATGTTTCTGTTTGCAATCGAATGGTATAAACAAAGAGCCAACAGAATAAAAATATTGTAGGCAAAAGGTTGCCACCTTTCTCCTATTCAGTTTCCATTTGATGCATCCGCTTTCCCAACATTCCTGCGATTTCAGATTCTGTAGAGGTACTTTAGAGCTGTTCCATTGGGTGATAAGCTTTCATCCTCTGAACTCAATTCTGTTAGCTAGAAGTCTGAATTCGAAAAGCCGGCGCTCCAATCGCCACTACTGCCAGACCAGCAGACGTGTGAAGTGACCATATTGCATGTATCGAGTGCATGGAGCATCTAATTTTGTAACTCTAAATAGTTCCAGCAAAGCAAAGCACCCTACGAATACAGCGTTCATAGTTCTACCAACACCTCTCGCGATGCGCACGGTTTCGCGTTTGGGTGGGCACTTTCAAAGGTGTAATCACCGCCGTGAAGGTGATGACAGTCGGAGGGTTGGTGGAACAATTAAACTACCAATACGCTACCTCATCTACTCTAGACAAATGCCCCAAATGACAGCACGGAATGCTTTGTTACGAAAGACCCTACTTGCCGAAATTTAGCAGTTCGCCCGAACATGTCAGCACAACCATTTTAGTCGTCAATGTTTGTTTCAGGTTACACCCGAATGCCTGGTTTCAGGCTAAGCCTCCGTTGGCGTTCGGCGACTTTCATTAGCTTGAGAATCGCTACCTTCTTTTCTAGCATTATAGTTAAGGGGACACTGGCTAGAGGTCAAACTTTTGAACTACTCAAGTGATCGGAATGAAATTTGCAGGGGAGATTTAGCTTCAGATGTAGGTGTACTGTGCAAACTTTCAGCTCTCTAGGACAAATTTACATACCTGCATAGGATGATGTGTCACTTTTCATTAAGAAATCTATGATATGCAAATGAAGCTATTAAGCATCATTTTGACTGCTCGAATATAAAGTGGGGGTTATGGGACCTCGGGCTATCTAGTTTTAATAACTTAAATGTAAATATTTCAGGAAGAGTTATTACCTCAAACTGTGAGATGCATATCTGTCCTCTGTAAATTTTTGAAAACTCAGTTTTTTATCACTGAGGACTTCAACTTAAAACGAAATAAAGTAGATAGCCCAATTCCTGAGTAAATTTCAGTTCAGAAACATCTTGATTGTGGTATCAGAATACTTTCACCTTCGAACAAGAGATTCCTTTGTATCAAATTTGCAGCAAAAAGTGGAACTGAGAAAAATGCATTCAAACATTGAACTCCTTTACTTTGCTACTGCCTCACAATGTGTTGAAAATATTTTATATAAACTTAACTATTTGGCATATGGTTATCGAATTTGGTGTAAGGGTGTATAATTAGTTTCTAAAACTGAAAACCTCAAAATTAAAAACTGAATTTTTTCAAAAAAATTTAAAATTTAGGCCCATGTCCCCCCTTAAGTACTTTCAGCACTTTTTCGAGACACTTCACGGCAGCGGAAAAACAGATGGGGCCATGACGTCCAAGTCAGCAAAGTCCTAAAACACTATTCACCGAGGCGAGATGAAAGGCGCGAGTCCACGACTGCAATGGCGAATGAACAATGCAAAATGGCAACAAGGATGATAATGACAAGCAGTTAAGAGAAAAAAAAAGCCATATAGCATCACCTATTGGTAGGATTTATAAGTACTCAAGTAGTACTGCCAAACCAAGCCAACCCATAGACAGGCAACATAAAATCTAAAATGGCGGCCTCTCAATAATGTTTCCTGCTGATCGCCCGAGACTCCGAAAAATTAAACTTTTGAACTTGGAGCTGTCCGAAACATTGGTCGTGAATATGCACTTTTTCTATCGGGTAGGTCTCGGTTCCTCCTTTAGCTCCGAAATATCGAACCAGTACGAATTATCAGCATCCAAAAGATTGGTCGACAATTTTAGTTCTTGCTCCACAAGCAATAAAAAGAAAGAAAAATACACTGAGTAAGCCTAAACATTTATGCCTCCCACGTGAAATCAAGAGCAAGCACACGGCAACTTGGGCCCTCAGACATCCAAGGAAGAAATGAGAATCACAATAATCATCTCAATAGGGAAGATCATCATGCGAGCCCAAGCCGAAATTCGCAAGTGGCGGAGGCACAGACACTGCTCGAGTTATCCGAGAAAATGGAATACTTACAATCTGTAGCTTGATAGTTTTTCCTTCTAGCTCTATCGTCCGTATTTTCTGGAAGATTAAAAGAAAAGTCGAAGCATCACCACTGTGTCAATGGAGATTCTACGCCCAACCGGAAGCGTTCAAAATGCTGGGCTTTCGCGATGTAGCAATTTGGGCCAGTTGGTTCATGACCGTAGACAAACGCCGCGGAAAAAATAGACAGGGACAAGAAGTTGACGTAAACACTGGCGCCAGTGTTTACGTCAACTTCTTGTCCCCGTCTATTTTGTCGGCGCTTGTCTACAATGCTGTGCTTTCATTACGACATTTATGTGCAATCAAAGTAAAAGTTTGAAACAATGGAACCCATATAACTTTCTATGCAAAGGGCAACTATACTCAATTTTTATCAGTGAAAATGCCATGCTGCTCAGTTTAGAGTCATAAAGAAAGAGTGGACCTAGATTAGCCAGGGTCGGGCAGCACAGCCACTGTGGTGTTTCCGTGTGAAAATGTGTACGTAAAAAACCTTGCCATCCTATACTCCATTTCACGATAATTTCGCAAACTGGACGGCGTCTGAGCAAAGCATGTGAGAACACTCCATGGTCGAGGCCTGGAAGTCCTCATTACCGCCACAGCAGCAGGGCCGCCTGCTACAAAAAGTAGTTCTAGGCTTCTCTTTCTTGCAAGATTCCATTTCTATCGAGAATATATAAATACGGAATATTTATGAATTTAAGAGTTTCATAAAAGTGACGCCACATCCGTATCCGCTCCCTCATTCTTTCTCCTAGCAGCGCCGTGACCGTTGCCGCCATTCTTTCTTTGTTTCACTCAACCGGTCGCACTTCGGTTGTAGACCGTAACACTACACGACACAAAGGAAGGACGAAAGCATGTTAATTTTCAACGATACTTAATTCAGATCGACCTTTTTCTAAGAACATTGTAGCTTTACAATGCGGTTTGAACGATCGCAGCCGTGTAATTGATTGCTTCCACTCAAAACATAGCCATGGCATTAGCACTCTCCACAGATTAGCAAGTAGATTGATCGCAGGGTTGTGTCGTGAACTGTTCCCAAAAAGCTCGCTACTCTAGCGAACGTACGGCAATTTTGCGGAGGTGGACATTCGTCCAAAGTGGGTTGGCTTTGTAGCAGACGACTTGGCCAGCAGACAACCGCCAGCTCCCGCGAGCCTCTCATCTGTCACAATCCTCGCTCCGACGCTCTTATTGGTTCGCAGTGGCCGTAGCCGCCACAGTTCCCAAAATTATAGTGAAACGAAGTATAGAATGCCATGTCTGCATGCACATTCCAGGAACATAGTCGAACCAGGCCTCAAAGGTAAAGTTACAACTCCCATCACTCTCACCATAGCTCTAGTTTGAGGAAAATCGCAGGCTCTTGTAAGGGTTTCCTACAATAGCACATCCCATCTCTGGTTAGAAATGGGCCATGCTCGCTAAGTATGGCCTACTTCTTAGGCCAGTTGAAAGTTTGGTGATGAAATTGCGAAGCTTTTAACCGAGGACGACAGCTGAAACATGCCACATTTGGCCCCAATAGCAACTGTAGTACCGCGGGCTTTGCAAGCAGCTGTGAACTCGACTCAGACAGCCAAGGGAACAAAGGGGTAGAATCACAGGCAATCATTCCCAAAACTCGTTTGTCATCATGTTCAAGTTTCACAGCCACCTGTATTTATCAGCCAACAAGGTAACTAGTATGCAAAAAAATAGCTTTTAAGAAAATTACCAGCAGCAGACAATTCTTTGAAAACAGGATTTCGTATGCCTACCATACTACGCAAAAAGATAATGTCTAAATCCATTAGAAAGATCTTGTTTAAAGTTGTCATTGAGCACTTATTACCACAAAAAAAAAAAAAAAAAAATCAAGATTAAAAATGGACCCCCCAACTCAGGAGGTTGAAATTTTAGGTTTTACCCAACAAAATTTCAAAGCAGTTACCCAAAAACTTCCCAGTTGCTGAAAAGAAGTTGGTGTTGTTGAATCCGCAGAAAGAGAGCAAGACCTGAAATCTCCACCCAGTTTTAACACCCCTCCTTCCAACACGTTCCTGGAGGCAACTCCGGGAATGCGTCAGAAGACTTGGGCGGCCACTTGGCAGTACACAAAGGGAGTAAGCAAAGGAAGACATCTAAAGAAAAAAACGAGCAAACTTACAAAATCAACACCAATTGTGCTGATGTAGCTTTCTGTGTAGGTGTCGTCCTGAAAGCAAAAAAAATAAAAAATATTGTTACGAAAGAAAACAAAAACAGTCTATTAATCACATCTATCCAGAAGCACTAGGAGAGTCATCTTCAGAGCCCCCTCGGCATGTCGCATCCTTGCAGAGCATAGCACTCCTCTCAAAGGACGCGGCGTATGCATTCACACGAGCTAAACATTTTCGGTCATCTCAACACGGTCATTTCAAAGCACCATCCGAATTTCGGCGACTTTATACCACAAGATGCACCATGTTGCTAAGCTAGAAGACTGTCCAACCCATTAATCAAGTACTGCACATTTTGGTTGGGAGAAACTGCCTCAGAACAAGTAAAATAGAAGGTAGCCACAACCATGCCACTAAAACAAGTCCCGTAAAAGCCCCACAATGATACAAAAATAAAGAACATTAGTGTTTTACATCTTGTCACGTGTATTTCACTCTTTGTTCCCAACCCCCCCCCCCCCCCCTCGCCCCACCTCCCCAAGCATAAACTTTCTGAACCTGCCATTAACAACAGTTTCCACAGAATAAATACCCAATCTGCACATAAGCCCCCTCAACTCTCTCGCTTCTGCACGACTGCCCAATAGCATAGAAATAGCTGCGCAGCCCATCTCCATGCTGCCTTCCTTTATAGTCCGATAGTTGGCCCCCACATAAAAACACACACCCCTCCACCTATTTCGCCCGCCATCTAAGTCTTCGAAGACATTTCCTTGGGGTCCAACACTTGGTACTAATAAGGTCCCTGAAGGAGTTTCCAGTCTACTACAAATCAACATTTTGACACCAGTCAGCGGCTACTGCCACCTCTGTTCTCAGGATAAGAAATGGTGTTAAGGCAAAACGAACGCCGTCCGCTTTTTGTCGCGTCCCTGGGAATTCATCTCCCCGAGTGCATGGCAGTTTCGTATCTTATGCCAGGCTTACCAGACGGCAGCTCAGACATCCAAGAAAGAAGTGACTCTCAGAGCAGTCAAGTCAAAAAGAGTGTCATCATGTCTGCCGTCAAGCCCAGAATAGGAACACGTTCGAGCAATATCCCATTTAAGTACTATTCCTGGCACTTACATCATTAAGCCCACGTGCTACGCAAAATGCAATGCACCGTCAACTGGAAGAACATGCACGAGGACGCAACTTCCGAGACAATCGTCTGCAGAATGTTCGAAGAAACAAAGCTTGCAGAAATAGCGACACCAGACTGCCAATCAACTTTTTATTCAGCAGTGCTACGAAAAATTGGCAGCAACCTTTATCTCTAGACAAATAATTAAATTCAGTACTTAAGATGAGATCATTTAAGATTATTTAGAACACTTTAAACAGTCCATTCTGGGAGTGAACAACATTTATTTTTATCAAATTCCCCGACATATTGAACAGGAAAACTAAACGGCGGTTTCCTGTGACATTAATTTTCCCACTAAATTTAGCGGAGAAAGTGAATTAGTGTATAGACCTTTTCATTTCAGTAGTTCCCCGATTGTCCGGTAGAAGAGGCGCAGGCGCACTCGCCGCCATGAGGTTGCTTCAATTTGGTTGGTTTCCGTTTTGACGTGCACGTGATCGTGTCACTGTTTCATGCCATTTGCGCTTAATTTTGCGATACTTCTTTCGTGTAGCACACAGCGAATGAAACAATGGTGCCAAGTCACTTGGAGAACCATGAAATGGCTTCGAGTCCAAATTGCAAGCACTTTCTCGAACACCAGATGAGACGGATTACGTCCATCGTTAATTTCGGCCAGGTTCGGCGGTGAAACAACTGCGCCGACGTACAGGGAAGATAACTATCGCCCGCAACCGTACCTCCGGACGCTAGTTTCCAAAAAAATAAATAAATAAAGAGCAGGAATGCTCTGGCTCCAGCAAGCGCTTTGCCTGCCGCGGGCTCTGGCTGCCCATGCTCCGAGTGGTATGGAAGGGCTCGCGTTCAAGTCAGATTCGACCACTCATCTTATATTGCAAGAGACTATAATGCACGAGTGCTTAGAGAAGCAGATCCACGGCATGATTAACAATGTGCTGAATCGCAAAAAACAGAGGAAGTGACAAGTTCACTGCTCGAAGTTGGGGCTTCGTTCACACCTACTTTGTGAACTTTGCAGACTAGAAAAATCTCCTATAATGAAGTAGATAATATAATACAAAGAAGTGTTATTCTCCCAGCCTGTTTTATTTAAACAAACAAGTTCCCGAGAAATACTTTGATAGGCTAAACTAGGCAGACTAGAAAATTTCTTTAAAGTACTCATTAACAGGATCTCACAATATTGGCCCAATGAAAAAGGCTATTTGTTATATGGACATTTACTTACGACATTCTCAAGGTATGAGATAAGCGACAGGCCCCTCGAATGAAGTCTGACATTCATCTTCCATAAGTGTTGCCAGAAGAAATTAAAGGGCACGAAAAAAGTCATCTCCGGTACGTTTGGCATTCAAGTCGAGCGCCAGGCACCCCACCATGGACCTGTGTAGAAAGCTCTACACTGACTTGAACCGATGCGCTTTGTAAATTTCAGCGTCGCCAGCTACTAAAATTAAATTCCTACTCGCCGTCGGCAACGCTGCTCTAGGGCCATTTTCATGCAGACCGATTCTTTTCGTTGTCACATATTGTGCACCCCAGGCACTCAAGCTATCTGCGACAGTTTCTTACACGGGGAGTACCAACCTTTGTGTTGAAATGAAGTGTACTTTTTATCTTAAGAAAATCATTTAAGAGCGTAAGACTGTAGACATGCGATTAATTAAGCATGGCATAGTTTCTTGGAATTCATAGACCGATCAGGAAAATGTTTATATCGCAAAAGACAATTAAGAACACCAAATAGATGTAGGTGTGATATTGTAAACAAACAAATTGCCTGATATTAATGTACCATTATTCCTAGCTTCAGAAAAAAATTCAAATTAAAAGTTTGTTCTCTATCTTGTTCACGAGTTCACCCACATAATCAAAAACCACTCTTTTCAATCTGCTATAAATACAAAACATGATGCGCTCTCCAGAAACGCACGTGGTTATTGACATTGAGTATTTTGTCACCTTTTTTGAGATCCTAAATGTGCAATGATACATTCACTTACATTGTGCTTCCTTCCTACTGTAAATGTTCCACCAATATTACTCAGCAAACCTGAGTTCTCACAAGTTATTGATCTTCGAACAGCAGTGTCCATGAGCATTAACACTGATTCATGAGCACAAAGAGCCTCTTCACATGTAGTCGGCATGCCGATGATAGAAGTAACAACGTTACGGACTTAACTGCAGAAATCGTGCACATGCAGATAGTTTATGGACTAAGGTAAGACATGCGGTAAAACGCGACAAAAAACAAACACTCAAAGTATCTGCCAAGGCACGGAAAGGAGGGACTGGAGTGACGTGTTGAAGCAACCTAATGGCGGCCGCATCAAGTGATTCCAAGATGGCAGCGCCCATGCGGCGGAGGGTGAAAAGGTTAATATATAGGGTACATGACATCAATTTTTTCTGCTCAATTTAGCGGGGGAACTGAATTGGTGTATACATCACATGCCCTAAATACCACTTCAGTTTCCCCGCTAAATTCAGCGGGCGAAGGACGGACAGAAAATTTTGAGATAAAGACGGGAAGGGGGGGGGGGGGGGGGGGGGGGGGGTAAAGCTGAAGGCATTTTATGCTTTAATACACGATTTAACAGTGGCAGCCAAACTTCCGCTGACCCATCTAAAATAATTGCGCGTGCTTTGCAGGTGGTAATGGCAAGCCGCATGCAGGAAAAAGCAGTGGCAGTGGCCTTCAGGATCACATTTTGTGGCTCTCACTTTTTTTTTTGGTCAACTCTTCAAGTGGCAACCTGTGACCGAACCAAGAGAGCTCTACACCTCAGGCAAGTCCTTCGCACTGGTTGAACGAATGCCGACCACTGCAGGTACTGCCCACCAGTTGGTGCACCAAAAGCAACCTACACCTCTGGTTAGAGCTTGCTCAACATTTCTTAAATTTATGAGACTGACCCGAGCACTACCAAAGGACGAGATGACACCGACAAACCCCACGTGGGTAGTGGAATTAAAGTTTGGGGGGTTTCCACGCCAACCAACCAAGGCCTAATAGACCCCCTCTGGGGCTGGTAGAGTGCTGCCAAACCTCAGTTCAACGCACCCACACTAGGTCTCCATCATGTTGCAAACACCTCTACTATAGCCGGTGACTGGTCAAGAATGAAGTGGAAGCACCTCCCACCCAATTTCACTTCAGCGAAGCGAACGATGGAGAAGAGGTCGCCTCCTCTCCAGCGTTCGCTCGACTAAAGTGGAAAGAGGTGGGAGGAGCTTCCACTTCGTTCAAGGAGTTTTAATTAGATGTATCGTGTGCTGTATGGTAGCTGTGTAAAATATCCCACTGCATGATTGAAAAAAAGAAAAAAGTAACAAAGGGGCAAATGAACAAATCTTTGAATTAGAAAATGTGTTGCTCACCTCCGGCCAACATGCACTTCCCCACACTGGCAACAGCCTCCCTTCGATTTAAAGACAGCATCCGAGCCAAACAAAAACTGCCACATCCCTTGGCAACAACTCACCGCAAACCTCAGCAGGAGACAGGACTTGCCCACCCCCGAGTCACCGATAAGCAGTAGCTTGAATAAATAATCGCTGAAACGAGGCAACAGAGAACATGTCAACGCACAGACATTCCAGAACGGTCCGTGCAAACACTATTAAGCAGTCCGACGTCGACACACAAAATGCCGAATGAAGCTCGCGGATTGGACAATGTGTCGCCGATTAGCTTGTGCTGAGTAACGATCAGTCAGGCTTGTGGCCAATACGCCCCGCAAGTGTTCCAAAAGGAGTCTTTGGCGCATTGGAAGGCAAGCAATCATCTAAACGGAATGCCAATCAAAGCACAACATAGAGAATGCGCAGGGAATGAGAGATGACGAGGCAGCCAAACCTGCGCCGTCATTGGTCATGGGGAAACAAAAGCATGTGGGCCTTTGGAGGTCAACAAAGGCTCAAGTTACACAAAGAGCAACAAACATACATGGCAGATTATATGGCAACAAAAATCGTAACAATGGCCAGAGCACATCATAACCTTTGACCATTGCCAACTTGGGTGCTGGGCTATGAACGATGGTGGTACAATTAGAAAGAATGACAGCTTGTTCTGGCTAAGAGTTGAGAGGGCAAAATCTGCCCGAATTTCTTTGTTTTTTCTGTAACAGTTGCATGCATTCCTTGAGCCAAGATTGAATACATCTCACATAATGTTAGATTGTATTTATTTAACATTTACCACAATAAAGACTTCATTGCACCTTTGGAGGTCTCACTTTATGCACCTTAGAATCCAGACACCGCAATTTATGTCAACACTTCGCTATCACCACTGCAGCTTGCCAAATGCTATCACAATGTCATCACAAAAGCACTCACATTTATGACACCCCACCACCACCACCTAGAGCTAATCAAATTTCTGCTTAGAAGGGATCTTAAGATGGAATCCTACACAGTTTCATGTGTCTAAAAACCTGCCCTCTTCAAATACTAGATGTACCAGTATTGCCTCCGGCATAACTTAGCTCACCAACTGCACATCTTTTTCTTATCTTATGCTGGGCTTATGGGACGGCAACTCAGACATCCAAGGAAGAAGTGACTCTCAGAACAGTCAAGTCAGGAACAGTGTCATCATGTATGCCTTGAAGCCCAGGTAAGAACATGTATGATCAGTGGCTCACTTAGGTAGCATTCCTAGCAATAACCTTACTTAACCCCACAGTACACATCCCCAACTAGAAAAACAAAACCTACCAACATTAACATGGGGAACTTCGAAGGAGATCCTCTGCAACCACACAAAGAAAAAAGCTTGGGAGTAACACCTGGCGCTAGGCTGTCACTCAACCTCACGTGTCGAGATATATGCGAATAAAAAACAAGATTGTGCAGGTCGTCCTAAATCACAAGCCAGACACGCATTTAAACATAAGGCAGCAGTTTTACAAGTCCCACAACCCTTTAGTCGTGAGCTCTAACACGAGGGCATTACTCCTACAGTCCACCGTTCCTTTGTCCACTACTTCCCAACCGGTCTGTCGCCACCCTACGTAACCTTTGAATCAAACTCAGCAAGTTTGTCAAGCAGGATCCGTCTAGGGAAACTTCTGACTAGGCTTTCAATTCCAGGTTGACAGACAGGTATGCGCTTCAAGGACGACACGCTCTACATTCTGCACACGGACACCCGAGTGTCACGGCGTGCCCGGTGAAGTGATGTGGCATCAGAGATATCGAATCCAGAGTTAGGTCGATCTCCGAGCACGCAGCTTATCGTAGCGGACTCGCGAAGCACGCGGTCGCCTTGCGACATCGCTTGAGCTCTCAGCGAGCGACGCAGTCTGACATCCCGCCGTGATCACAACGCTTGAACGTTGCGCAACTTTGTAATTTTTATGTAACGTTATTTTTTTGTCGGTCATTTATTTTTAATTTAACAAAGCGAACAGTACGGTAGCCTCCGCCGAGTTGAATGCTCCCCTGCGCAAGTTGCGTCATTCCGTCCGATCTGTCGAGTGAACCACAAACACGTTGAGTTTATAATTGCCTAAAGTACAACTATCTCAGCGACAAGCCCTTGATACAGGCTAAACGACTGGTAGGGTCGAGAACCACCCCACACATTAGGCCTAGTCTGGGTCAGCTGCTTCGGAAATGCGTGCACGGAAGAGATAAAAACCAATTTTTTCACGCTTTTCAAAAATGTATACTAGCCACCGTATGGCACTACGAGGAACAGGAAATAGCATACAACACCGTAAGACAAAGGTATGGACCATTGAACAATGAAAGCACATCGGAGTGGCCGACGCTTGTCCCGTGCCATAACAAGGGGCTTTTGTTATCACAATAGCCCAGATGACGCCCCACAAAGATGGGGCGTACTTTGGAAAAGTACTTCCTTTTACCGTTCGGCTACAAATGTAGTCTGTTTCTGGCTTAGGTGGCAACTATCAAAGGACCAGCCCGAGAACACCCAAAATCTGGCAGTCGTCGAGTCAAATCGACGGGTGCTTTCACAACTTTGCAAAATCCGTAACTCGACGTAAAAATAAAAAGAAAAGCGCTTGCCAAGTCTCGCGTCACTTGAAAGGCGAACATTCGCCTACACACGTCTTCAAATATGCAAAGACATACTTCGAAGGTAGGTGGAAAGGATACGTCACGATTTAAGACGAGTTTTTTCCTGCGCTGCGAGCTAGGCTTAGCAACAACGACAAGTTGGCAGCGTCAGGAACGTCGACAGGGGGTACAAACGCGCTTCACTTACTATTCCGGATTCATCGTGGACATTTTGGTTGTATCGGGCTTCTTTAGCGGCGTGGAACTGGTAACTTTGGAGCCTGTATTGGTGCTTTTTGAGTCAGATCTTGCGGTTCCGGAAGTTCACAATATGGCTGCCTCCACCCTCTGGCCAACAGCGGAATCTCGGGCCGTGGAATCGGCGAATGACGTCAGCCCACGCGACGTGGCGAAAAGGTGGCGCCAGCTGGCGGCCACATCGGATAAAAGTGACATTTTTCCGGATTGCTTCAGGCCAGAGACTCTCTCCAAAAATTCAGACTGGTCGAGAACGAATAAGCGTGCAGATATTTCTAAGATTTAAAACATTGTAATGTTTTGATCAAACTGGTTTGAAGAAAGCGGAGAGGGTCCGAAGACGATGCCTACAGAAGTGTCATGTGTCTTCGGCCCATGTGTCTAATGTAAATATTTTTATTAATCAACAAGCATTCTCGGCGTCTAAGTAAACTATTTAGTGAACGTTTTCACTTTATTGCCAAGCGCCAAAAAGCCAATTAGTAGTGCATGTTGTACCCAAGAGATGGCGCCACCATTCAGCATGCGGCTGACTTGGAGCTCACGGCGCAAATTTTGAATTTGCGAAATCGTTATTCCTAGAATTTTCCGTTCTTAGCTGAAGGACTCTATGAGCCGAATATGCTGCGAAAAATTGACGAATTTTGCCCGGCGACTTTTTCCCTGCGCGTGGCATCAGCACCAGCGCCGGATGGCTGCGGCCCTAGGCCCCAGGCAGTGCCGGCCGCCCTACACCATCAAGCGCCCTGGGCGAACCAGGCGAACTCCAGCCGCTCCAGCCGTAGCGCCTTCCAACCCCCCCCCCCCCCCCCCCCCCTTTTTTTTTTTTTATGCGCACCCCCGGCGCGCCCCCTTTGGTGGTGCCCTGTGCGACCGGGTCTCTCACCCCTAGAGCCGGCCCTGGCCCCAGGCTCTAAGGGTCCCGTGCTGGCCCCTGGGAATGTGAAAATGTTAGTTGTTTTCCATTTGAAACAGCGCACCTTTCCAAGAAACACTCGACCCCAGGGGCAGCAAACTGTTTTCAAGCCCATTCACTGGATTTGAGGCTAGACTCCCACCGTCGTCCCTGTTAACCCTAACCGAGTGGACTGTGATTTCGGTAGGCGCAGCCTGCGTAGGCGCAGTTTCAAACACTGCTGGCGGCTAAATTCTTGCCTTTACCCACTGTTTTTTTTTTTTTTTTTTTTTTTTTTTTTTTGTGTTTCATGCTGCAGGTATTTTTCCCAGGTCACTGAGAAAGCAATCTACCACATTTGAAAAAAAAAAAAAAAAAAAGCAATAGAAAAACCTATAAACTATTTTTGTTGGGTACGCACGCGACAGAATGAATGCGACTAGAATGTATAGTTATAATTTTTTGTATTTTTTTTTACGATAAGTTTTGACGGCGCCGCGCGATTCGCCGCATGTCAAACGACAAAGCGCTTAGCTGTCAAAAATAAATTACAACAGAAGAGAGCCGAAAGACATGCATTTTTCACGCTCACAAATAACGTGTTTACCGATGGGCAGGACACGGACATACAATTTAGAAAGTGTTAACATTCGAACAATATATCGTACGTACCACACGATGCGGCGTTATCCGAAAAGAATTTATTTGAGAAAGATCTCAAATAACACAGTCACAGTCAACGACAGTCACATAGGACGGAATCTAAGATGACTTCGTTTTGGGGAGAACTTCCTTTTTTCACAACAGCACCAAGGCAAAGGAACGAACGCGACTGACCCGTTTCCCACCCCAACCCGGACAACTATTTTTGGAAAAAACGTTTAAAGTGCAGGCGAGCTGGTGTAAGTTATACATGATGATTGAAAACCTGAGACTGTGGTTTGAAAAACGGAAACTCGTGAAGTAGAAAGAAAAAGGGACAGACAACGTTGAGACGTTGTCTGTTCCTTTTTCTTTCTACTTCATGAGTTTCCGTTTTTCAAACCACAGTCTCAGGTTTTCAATCATCATATATTTTTGGAGATGACTGAGGATTCTACGCGGATTATCTCTGGGAGAAGGGAGAACAATGTTCACAAAATCGCGTCGAGGGTCGTTTGACGTCCTTCACCTCCTTCCTTTCCTGTGAATGTCGAGCAGAAAATCTTGAATGGCAGGCACTTACCAGCCTTCTATCTGGCAGTGGAAGATAATACAGAAAGGGTACCCAGCACGGATAAAAAAAATTAGGTGGAAACTTTAAAGAGGGGTTAGAAAACGTCGAATGCAAAACCGCAAAAACGTAGGTAGAGAACCGCACTAAGCGGGTCTTCACAGTCCATGAGAGCGGCAGAAAATTTATAGCTGATAGAGCGTGTGAGATTCGCACCAGCCGTAAAGCACTGAATAATATTTCGCATCCAGTGCTTTAACCAGCCGCGTCAGCATCAGCAACATGGCGGCGACCTAGGAGCGTTTTTTTGGAAACGTAAGGAACACTCAGAAGGGCCCCTGACGCAATGGCCTCCTCATTCCTTTTTCCTTTTTTTTTTTTTTTCTCAACAGGGAAACAAGGATGCAATGAAGTTTCCGTCTCCATACAAGTTTGCGTTTGTGAGCTCGTCGTACAAGAACGTGCCAGAGCAACAAAATGTAAAAGCGCCTTGTTAGATGGGGCAAAGCTGTCGACACAGGCGGTCCCTTTGAGGTCTTTTCTAATTGAAGCTCGATGGAAGCACAGTCATAGAGTTCTCTTTCGTACCGTGGCCCCCTTGGCGTGTTTTACGGACAATGGTGGGCCTGGAGCTAAGCAAGTGTTGCCAAAGAAAGACTAATCGATCAATACAGATGGTTCAAACATCTCCATATGGCGCTTATTCCAGAACGACAGGTTTAGAACAAGTGCCCGTAAATCTTCCGGACACCATCTCTATAACCACCGACAAATAGGCGTTTCGAGGAGCCGGCTTTAGAGACACCCCTCAACAGTTTTTAATGGGCACTGATTACAAACAAGTGCTTTAGAGTCTGTGTCTGGTCTTCCAGAGCGACTGGACAATCTCCCTCCCACCGACTGATGAGAATACTGCTATGGTTTCCCCAACCCCTAAGACCGCCACCACCATCATCATCATCACCACCACCACCACCATAATGGTTATTATTATTATCATCGTTAGGGGCCTCGTAACATCCTTAGCCCAGGGCCCCCAAATGCCTTCATTCGGCACTGTCAGCACAGTGGCTACTACGTCCCGTGGAAAGGGATCCGTGCCGTCGGGCGAAGTTCGTCAGTTATTCGTCGCATAATTCGCTCCATGAAAAGCAGCCTTCACGTAGCAAAGTTTCTACGCTAATAGGGAATTGTAGTAGACCATTTTTCTCCTCCACTACGGTATCCCCGAAGAAAACGCCGCAGCTGCGCATGCGCGCCGCCAGCTTTGTCTGCATATAGTTCAAGGTCTTGTGGCGGATGACGGAGCGCTATCCATGTGCTTAGCGGGCTGCGGAAAGGGTCTACTACAATTCCCCAATATCTACGGACAAAATTACAGAAGCGTCAGTTTCATTGCTGCACTGTAAACTTGATGAAAAATAGGAAAATGTTCGCATGCACAACAATGAGGCTGTGTGTGTGTGTGATACATGTATATCAATGTAGACAAAATGGGGATATACAGTGTTACTATCTCTTCGCGTAGTCACCGCAGATGTTTGGGAAATTATCACGGCACCATCAAGCCTGTCCGTGACCGGTATTAAAGGGACACTGACGGGGTATTTGTGCTCGCCGAGGTTTTTATTTGAACTACCCATGTTTGCTGCCTGAAATTCGTTTTCTTTCCGACCAAAATCAGCCGGTTGAGAATCGGCCGAGTTCAGTCGCGCTTATTCTCTTCTGCGTGGTCACGTGGCGTTGGAACGCTAGCGTACAAAATATATTCAAAGTCGTGGGTAATCTAAGGCACACATTCAATATTAAAAATAGAAAAGAATATGAACCCCATTTTTGTGTCATTCAAAAAGCTGCCAATACAATGATTGAAAAATAAATGTTGCACAGATAACGTATTAACGTTTCATTTCATTTATTTTCGGAACTGGACAGACGGGGAGTACAACAAAGGGTCCGAAGGCCTATACTAAATAACCTACAAACAATAAAAAAAAAAGAACATTTTGTGACGGACTGGTACTGGTACTTCGGAAGTGTCGTTCGTGGTACCGGCCAATCGATCTTCAAGAGTAGAACAGCGAGCGGAAGGGATATCGGTACGAATCCATCGCAAGACGAACGGAGCACGCAACTTCGTCCTTATCTTCTGCATTCACGCCGAAGAAGCAGAAGGAAAAGAAACGCGATCGGGTGCAGCCACGTGACTTCCGGGAACTCTTTCCTCCTCTACATTCGGTACACATCGTCCACTTGTCGCGGCCATGAGCTTCCGTGCTCATGTTTCGGTTCTAATTGCGTGCAGCAAAGTCTCTCTCTCTTTTTTTTTTTTTTTTTTTTGCTTTTTTTTTTTTAAATATACGTTACTCTGTAGCAGAATATCTATTTGATAGTCTTTTGACAACATAATTATTCGCCTGGCAAAAAAAAAAAAAAAATCTTGGGGGGGCGGGGAGGGAGGTTAGTGTTTTTTTAAAACCCTGTTGACTATAAAAAAAGCTCGAACTATAGCGTGATACCTTGACCCGCAATGTCGCCGCGAGTGCTTGCGCTCAAGTGGACATGTGGATCCAGCTTCATCTAGATGGCACAAACAACATCTGCCCCGGGATTGTAAAATCATTACAACACATAAATAAGTGACTGTTTCAACAATGACAACAATAGGAGTTACGGAAACAATATGAGTTAAGAAAATATGAGTCACGGAAACAAAAATAAAAATAGCACTTAAAAAGTTGTGGCTCCAATCCACGCTGTGACGATGGTTGAACAGCAAGGCTGTGGTATCACCTACAACGATTGGGTGCGAGGGCGAGGATAAGACGGACCGGGGAGGAGCAAGCAGACGGAACGCTAAGAAGAGAAGGAGGTTCTCTTTTTCAGAGTTCCTCCCGTCTGCCTCCTCCTCCCCGGCCCGTCTTACCCTCGCCCTACCTTCTTGACTGGTGACCTAAGCAAGTTTAACAGGCTTGCCAAGGCGGTGCGACAGCAAGTCGCTCGGGACGCAAGCGGCAGTCCGTGTTGGTAAACAGCAAAAGGGTCTATACCAAATGATTGACGAAA